CCGAGGATGTGCATGTCCGAGACGTGGATCGGGTGCACGTCCTGATGCTCGTGCACGGCGCCGACGCTTGCGTGTGAGTCGGTGTGACCGCCTCGCCGGCGCGTCAAAGAGTGGCGGCAGATGCACAGACGCGAGCGGGGGTTCATAGAGAGCGCGGACGCCATGCTGCCGCTGCCGGAGCTCTTCGTGGACGACGGCATGCTGTGCACGACGCCGGCGTTGTCGGGTGCGATGAGATGTGTCCTGCCGCAGAGCCGATCGAGCTCGCACGCGGCGGGGTCCGTGCACCCGGTGCTGCAGCTTCCGGACGATGTCCTGCGGCAATGTCAAAGGGGGCGGGTTAAGGCGCAGTCAGTGGGGAGAGGGAGGAAGAGGGACGCACGATGCTGTTCCCGGCCGTCATTGTGAACAGGCTAGCAGCAAACACTTCCCCGCAAGGGACTTCTTCATTGAGCTTGGCTCTTGCACGGTCAATCCTAGCCAGTGCAGAGGTAAACTTCGGCCTCTACCTCTTGAGGAACGCCCGTGACGCACTGACATGACCCGCTGTATGTCGACATCCGAAGAATTCCGATGCCCATTACATAAGGGCTGACGCTGTTTCTGTGCTCGGACTCGCAGAGCGCGTTGGTGTGCGATTCTTGAGCGTGCGGGTGGTGCGCGCCGTATCTGAAATCTCGGCCCTTCTGGGGTCCAACATATGTAGTATACAGATTACATACGGGCAGCATAATTTACGATATGCATATGTACACATATGATATGCCGTGCGTACAAGTAGGAGAATGATTACGGAAACCCCCATAATTAATCTTAAGATATGCTTAATCTGAGATTATACTGGTATGTAATCATAATTTTGGTGAGCACTATTGTGGACGCGCTGAATTTTGGTCGTTCACGAGTCACGTGGCATGCACGGGATCGCGATCGAAGCGCTAAGGCGCAATAGGCCTCGTCCTGAGTTTTGCTCAGGCCGTGCCACTCGCTGCTAGCAGTCGTGTACTGGCTACCGCAGCGAAAGATGATAAACCGGCGAGGCCCTGGGGTCTGGCCTCGCCCGCGCTGCATGGTGTTATAACGCACTATGGCACCGGATGTGGCAGTGACATTGCGCGCCAGCTTGTATTGAATTGCTCAAAGTGGTATCCGCGTTCTTCGTGCGAGATCATTACGCTAATGGCGCTGGAATGCCGGGCCATCGATTTTGCAGCGGGTATACCCAGCTGGATTTGCGCCCCATAACGATACTGCCATCTGTATCACATCGTGCAACTCGCCCCTCACGCCTCATAGGCCTCATGTTCCGCCTCCGCCGCCCGCCATTAGCTCCCGATGAAATCTATTCATCTGGGCTTGCAATGCTCCACCAGGGGCACGCCCTCTGGTACCCAGAGCCCAATGAGTCGGGCGAGCCGCAGATCGGAGACGTTGGCTTCATAGACAGAGGCGCATTCATCAGGCTGTTCAACTTGGACACCTCTGCACCTGACAAGAAAGTCTCATTCTGGGATCCACCATTCGAGATCACCGAGCCTCCGCCTCCAGGCGTGTTCAAGATTTACCGCAGACATCGTCCGCTTGTCCCCGACCACTATCACAGTCATGGAGTCGAGGTCAAGCAGAGAGGTGCCTCGGCCGGGTTGTGAGTGCATCTGCTTGGTTGACGAACGCGTTTCGCTGAATATCCGCAGAACGGCCGGTCCTCATGTATCTGCGACTATGAGTGCAGAGTACACTTGCAAGGCGGCCCAAGGCGCCGTTCTTCAGCTGAAGAGCGAGGCATACACCGAAGCGATATTCGAGAACTTAGCCCTGAAAGAGTACATCCTTCGACACCACGGCGAATGGTACGCATACGCAAAGGGCAAACTCCGCCAAGACGTCAAGCGGGAAAATATTGTCGTAGTTAGCGGCTGGGTCAAGACCGAGGCCGACTGGGCGGCGGTTGCCTTCAGCAACACCAGCACGAGTTCCAGCGTGTCGGTCGGAGTCCAGGCCGGTGCCGTTGCGGGGGCGAACGTGGGCGCATCGAACACAAGCTCTGCGACTGGTCCAACTATGCGAAGGCAGGGTGAGAACTATGCGAAAGCGTCCGATCCTGCTGTGAAATCATCCGATCCCTCTGCGAATGTGCCCGGTCTCGTCCTTCCAAGCCCAACGAGAGACCAGTCTGTCTTCGTCAGGCGCTACAAGATTGAAACGCGGCTTGGAGTATTGAAGGAAGTTGTGGCCGGTGCGGGCTATCACCGGCTTCCGGATGGGGGAGATGGGAGAGGTGGCTCGATGGCGAAAGGAGTCGTCGCTCGAGAAGGAGGGGCGGAAGACATCGTTGAGGCAAACATTATAGATCCTGGAAGCGAGGTACGTTTTCCGTTACAATGCATCGTGAGAGACCATAACTGACGAGATACTAGGGCGAGGTCCCTGATCCATTGGATGTTCTCCTCGACTACATGCTCGAGGTATGTTCGCTCAATCCCTCATTCCATCGCGACGCTAAACAAAAGATGTGCGATGACAGACGACCGACGCCGAGACGGCTATTGCGAGTGATGACGGTGTCTGGGGCATCGTCGTACGTATATTTTCATACATCTGACAAGAGCGGAAAGGTTGATTATTGGACAGGGCGGCAAGTCTGTGGTCGATTTTGCAAGCTACCTTCGTCGGATGCAGCCCCCCGTACAGGTCGACGGCATACGTGAGTCTCTCATTTTCCGGCAGTGGCGGTCTCTGACTGGTGCGACTCCCCATACAGTCGGGTCGCTATGCATGGAAGATGTTATCTCTCACATGCGATAACTCACGTTGTCTCGTCCGACTATCACCGCGTCCGACTTGGTGGAGTGGCCAAATGCTGCCTTAGACGGCGCCGGTCAGTTGGAGGATGGGCGTGTCCACACCGGCTCCTCGACTACAGAGACTCGGCCTTTCAAATTGAGGTGGCTTACCTTCACCGACTCACGATACCCGTCCCGTGATTGCGACTGCTTCACTTTGTCGACCGATGGTAAGCTCCTGGCGGCATCGTTCAGGAGCGTTGAAGTCCTCGTATGACGACTGTCCGACGGTTTACTTGTTCAACGCCTACATCATCAGAGCCATACAGACGACGTTTCTGCCCTCTCCTTCTCCCCCATTGACTACACTCTCGTCTCAGGGTCCAAGGACATGACCGCAATCGTGTGAGATACTCGACACGGCCGCTTAATTCTACGTCTAGAAGGACACCGCGGGCCAATAAGTAGGATTGCATATGCTCCTCATGGTGCACTCATCGCCACAGGTTCTGGCAACAACGGATCCGTGAATATTTGGGACTCGTCGAGTGGAGCATGCCTGCATTCCTTTGGCGTCGACGAAGACATATACAAGCTCGCCTTCTCCCCGGACAGCTTATGCCTCTGTGTCGAACTGGCCAAGTCCTGCATCATCTATGACATCCACACCTACACGCGCACTGCCACATTACGACATAATGCCAGGCACTCACTCTATTCGTCGATGTCTCATCAAGGTGATCGCATAGTCACAGGCTCGAGCTCGATCCGCCCGGGACAAGTGAAGATTTGGAGTACAGCGACCGGCGAAGGACTTTTCATAATTGATCATCCGGACAAGCTCTCGCGTCCTGTGGCATTTTCCCCAGACGGGGCCGAGGTGGCATCGGCTTGTGATGTGGAGATGGCAGCCGTCACCTACGACTCACGGACAGGTCAGCTACGTCATGTCTTTAAGTTGGCACAGCCGGAATATCGTGTGGCGTACTCCCCAGATGGGGAATATGTTGCCTTTGGTGCCGAGGACGGAGATCTCGAGCTGTACGATACGAAGTCTGGGACATTTCTCGCAAAGTTTGATGGGCGTGAAGGGAGTGGGATGCTTTATGAGATATGCTTTCTACCTGACAGTCGGACTCTTCTAGCGCGGTCTGAGCACGGGCCCCCACTTCTGTATAACAGTGACGATGTGTTACGAATGCGATAGCGTAGTGTTACTCTGCGGTCCCCAGCTCCGTATACTATAGGAGTGCAAATTGTAGGAAGCTTGTGGTGAATACAGTGTGATGCGTGCCAGCGTTTGACATGGGTGAGAATTATATGCAACTACAAGGAAGAGTGCACGTATAGACGGCGGGCTGAGAACGAGACCCGGTTCGCGAAGGACGGACGTATTACCGGTGCTGTCTCGTGGCGCAAGTGGCACGCCGAGCTATCTCACTGGCACATGCACTTAGAAGCATACTAAAGGACGATCTCACCCGAGATGTCAGAAATAGAACGTAGCAACTGCGTAGTGACTTGCGATAACCTCTTGACTCGCTTGAGATGTAAACAGTACCACACCGAGACCGCACGGGGCGCCCGACCGTGGCTTGCAGTCGGTTAGAAGCAGCTTTCTCAGCCGAATGATAGGCCAAGACGACCATTGGGGCAATCTTTCTGCTCGCGCGCAGCAGTAGCACGAGAATACGATCAAGAGTTTGGGATGTCTGCTGTCCGAAGCCTCCAGGCTCAACCAATTATGCTGCCTGCTCAGACAGGGAGGGGTGTGGTATTGGGCCGTCTCTGTGGCAAGCCGTCACGGCGACGCATTACGGTACAATATCCTACGTAAAAATAAGCAGTACGTAACAGAAACTTATTGATTTGAAGGCAACCAAAAGAGAGTCATGCGTGGAGACGACGTTCAGCCGAGCATGCCCTCGTTGTCCCACATCGCATACGACGAGCACTACAGCGACCAACTAAGCTCGCTGCACCGCGCGACCAGGGGCCGCCTCGCGAGTGAGATCATCGGTGCACGCAGGCCATGCTGGATGCCGCCGTACAGGATCATGATGCGCTTCGTCGATAGTAACCACTAGCACGACATCAGCGGAAGCGCGCGCGAGAGAGAAAGGAGTCATACTCACATTGTGAGCGGCATTCGAACAGTCGAAGACACTGCCAGAATAGCGCCGTCGTTGCATCTCTGCAAATAAACTTTGCCGACAGGTGCTGCCCGCCGGGGTGCTCGTCCAGGTATCGCCCCCGAGATACGTCCGTCAGACCTCGCACACAGGCAGCTAGCCGTGGTATGCGTACCTTGAAGCAACGATCTTCCGCGTGCGGCTCGCCTTCGTTTGCACCTGCGGATGTTACTCCCGACCCAAGAGCTCCGACCTTCCTCATCCTCTTGTGACTCTCTGGCAAAACATTCTTCGGGGAACCTGCCAACCTCGTTCTGATTGAGTGCTGGTACGCCGTATGCGGCGAGCGGCTGTGTCTGAGGACAAAAAAAAAGGCTGCGAGTGATGTTTAGGCTTAGTGGTGGCAGGAGCGGGCAGTGCCAGTTTAATAGGAGGCGTGAACCTCGGCAAACGCTTCGCAATAGCGCATCTAGTAGCTCCAAGCACTGCCCCGCCCACTACCGACAGGCATCGTACGTAGAGGACTGTGGTCAGATTAAGGCCGGTGGGAGAGCGTGGCATCTGACAGGGACCAGAGTCGTGCACTAGGAGTCGCAGGCAGTTGCCAGCGCGGCGAGTGGCTCCACGACGGGGTCGACGAAGAGCAGCGAGAGGCACGATTCTGTGCAGTGGAGCCGCCAGGTGCTCGCTGAGGCGGGATGCACAGACATGTCCTGCTGTGGATTTCTCGGAAGGAGGAGGAAACGGCGAGGACGACGACAAGAAAACCAAGACGAGAGCGCAGGTGGCGATGAACAGGCTGAGCGAGTCGTCGGGACGTTCTGTGTGCGGACGGAGATCTCATTCGGCAACTAGGCTTGTATCGTCGCGTTCAGATGTCATCGTTGGTGCAGCCATAGAAGACTCTAAGAAAATTGCAGATGGTACGGCGAGCATGTCTAGAGATATGTCTTCCCGCAACGGTGCCAGTGTGGAAGTGTTTGTGGAAATGCGACAAGCCTTCAGCTTCAACCGCCGCCTCGTCCGGCAAGGTTGATGGGAGAGCCGTGTATCTTCTCATGCTGTGGGGTTGCATGAGGACGTGCTAAGGCGCGCTCAGCCTCAATGCACAATGCACGGTCAGATAGACATGAGGCCGTCAGTAATATCGCGCACAAGAATGCAATAAACATACCGCTGGAAACAGCTTGTGATCCGCAAAGACTCGTTATGCTTGGTGACTCGTTGACGTTCTACAGGAGCTGCTGGGGAATCAGAGGTTGAATGGTTGTATGAATTTTGAACGTGTGCTTGCGACATAGCGGACTGTGGCGGCTTGACTAGCTTGACTAGTCGAGGGTGCCGGTGAACGTTTGAACCACGGGGTCTCGACGGGTCTATTGATGCTTACCTAACATCTGGTCACGTGGGAACTGAGCATGTCCTACAGTACTTGCGTTCAGGCTTTGTCTCGGAGTCGTATACATAGCGGAACCGCACAGGTAAAGGCGGCAAGATAATTCGGGGATCTTGGCGCCTAGCCTGATCCGCGCTGCATGTTGCCGTGAATACACCGAACGTGACAGCAATATTGCGCGCCCTGCTCGCGCTCAAGCTCAAGGTTTGGCCATCCGCATTCTTCGTGCGAAATGATCAGGTCAATGGCGTTGGACTTCCCTTGCCCGGCTTGGGCTCAAAGTCCGGGCTTGGACTTGTGGCAACATCGAGCCGAGCCGTGAGCCCGAGCCGAGCCCGAGCCCGGCCCAAGCCGCGGGCTTGCTTACCACACCGTGAACATTCAAATCCCACGAAAAGCGGACTCACTTGTAAGTGCAAGGTTACTATCGCATGTGCTTACCAAAGTACATTAGCCCCACAGGGCGTGCAGCCGCTCAACGAGTCCGGTGGCAGCGAGATTCACGAGCGGGCGCCACGTCAGGCGGCAACGGACAACCGTGCTCGGCGAAGACTGTCTAGTCTAGAAAGACGACTATTCCCCTTGTATGTATGTATTGTGCCATCTCATCCTTTTCTGCATACAAAGGGCGGCACCAGAGCTAGTACACCCAAGCCTGGGCTTCCGGGCCGGGCTTAGGCTTGACCACACTCCGAGCTTGAGCCCGCTACCAGGCTTGGCTCGGGCCAGGCCTTTTGGGCTCGTGAGATTTGAATTTGAAGCCCGGTCCGCACATCACTAGTATCACTAGCCATCGATCTCACAGCACACTTCGCCTCAGCTCGCTTTGCACCGCCACAGCGATACCGTCCATTCGCACCACCCCGTCCAACTCGTCGTTCATGTTTTTCTCCCACCGCCTACCGGCAGCTCCGGACGAAATCTATTCATCTTGTCTCGCGACACTATACGAGGGTCATGCGCTCTGGTATCCAGAGCCGCACGTATCGGGCGAGCCGCAGATCGGAGACGTCGGCTTCATGCGCAAAGGCGCATTCGTCAGACTCTTCAACCTCGACACCTCTGCACCCGGGAAGAAAGTCATATACTGGGACCCACCATTCAAAATTACGGAGGACCTGCCTCGAAGCGTATTCACGATCGACCCCAGGCGTTGTCCTCTCGTTCCCGCTCACTATCCCAGTCACGGAGTTGAGGTCAAGCAGAAAGGCGCCTCGGCGAACATGTGAGTACATTCGCCCGCTCAATAAGTGATCTTCGCCGACAGTCCTGCAGAACAGCTGGCGCCAATGTATCTGCGACTCTCAGTGCGGAGTATACGTGCAAGGCAGCCCAAGGCGCGGTGCTTGAGTTGAATAGCGAAGCGGACGCCGAATCGATATACGAGAAAGTGTCCCTAAAGGAGTACATTGCCCGGCACCACCACGGATGGCATGTATATGCCAAATGCGTCCTCGACCTCGATATTAAACCGGAGAGCATTGTCGTGGTCATCGGCTGGGTCAAGACCGAGGCTGACTGGGCGACGGTTGCATTCAGCAAGACGAGCACGAGCTCCGGTGTGTCGTTGGAGGGCCATGTCGCCGGTGTTGGGGGGGTAGGTTTGGGCACGTCGCGCTCGACTTCTATGGTTGGTCCGCGGATGCGGAGACAGGGTAAGGACTACTCTGCGAACACGCCCGATCCCGCTGAGAACGCGCCCGATCCCGTCCCTGCTGAGCCAAAGAGAGACCAGTCGGTCTTCCTGAAGCGTCTCAAGATGATAAAGCGGTTTGGAATACTGAAGGAAATTGTTGCCGGCGCGGGCCACCACCGGCTTCCGGAAGGAGGAGATGAGAGAGGAGATCCAGCGGCGGAAGAAGTTATCGCGCGAGAGGGAGCGGTGGAGGATATTGATGAGGTGAGCATTATAAAACTTGGAAATTGGGTACGTCTTCCGTTAGAACGCATCGTGAGCTACATTAGCTGATGAGGAACCAGGGCCAAGTTCCTGATCCATTGGATGTCCTCCTCAACTACATACTCGAGGTACATCTGTTCGGTAGCTTATCTCATCGTATTGCGGTGCTAATCGAGAAATGTGTGGCAATAGACTACCGACGTCGAGACTGCTATTGCGAGTGATGAAGATGTGTGGAGCATCGTTGTATGTATCGTGACACACGCCTGACAAGGACGAAAGGCTCACAATTGGACAGGGCGGCAAATCAGTGGTTGACTTCGCAAGTTACCTTCGTCGGGTGCAGCCTCCGGTACAGGTCGATGGCGCGGGTAAGTCTCTCATCTATCGGCAGAAACGGTCACTAACTAATACGACTCTCCGCAAAGCCGGATCGTTGCGCATGGAAGATGTTATCTCTCACGAGCAATCACTCACTTTTACTCGCCAAATCGTCACTGCGGCCGACTTGGCGGAGTGGTCAGATGCCACCTTAGACAGTGCCGGTCGCTTGACAGACGCGCACGCCTTCACCGGCTCCTCGAATGCAGACACTCAACCTCTCAAATTGAAGCAGCTTATCTTCACTGATTCACAACATTCGTCCCAGCGCTGCAAATGCTTCGCTTTTTCGGCAGACGGCAAGCTTCTCGCCGCATCGTTCGAGAGTAGCGACATCCTTGTATGGAGATTATCCGACGGTCTGCTCGTTCAACGTCTACATCGTCAGGGCCATACAGACCGGGTTATGGCCCTCTCCTTTTCCCCCGTCGATTATACTCTTGTCTCAGGGTCTAACGACAGGACCGCAATTGTGTGGGATACTCGATGTGGTCGCGTACTTCTACGACTGGGAAGACACAATGGAACAGTGGATAGCATTGCATATGCTCCCAATGGCACGGCTATCGCCACTGGCTCTGGAGGCGGCGACAGATCCGTGAAGATTTGGGACGCGTTGATTGGAGCATACCTGCATTCCTTCAGCGTCGATGAAGACGTGTACAGTCTCGCGTTCTCCCCAGACGGCTCATTTCTCTGCGTCGAACTAGATACGTCCTGCAACATCTATGGCATCCATACCTATACACGCGCTGCTACGCTGCAGCACGTTGTCGGGAAGAGGCTCTTCTCGTCGATGTCTCACCAAGTTGATCGCATAGTCACCGCTCCGGATTCGGACGACCCGGGACAAGTGAAGATCTGGAGCACGGTGACCGGCGAAGAGCTTCTCACGATTGATCATTCGATGCGGCTCTCATATCCTGTAGCATTCTCCCCGAACGGGGCCGAGGTGGTGGCGGGTTGTGAGGCGGACACGGCAGCCGTCACCTATGACTCACGAACAGGCCAGCTACGTCATGTCTTCAAGCTGACAAAGCCGGCACATCTTGCAGCGTACTCCCCAGATGGACACTATATCGCCTTTGGTGCCAGGTTCGGCAGCCACGTTGAACTGTATGATGCGAAGTCTGAAGCTTTTCTCGCAAATTTTGATGGGCAGGAAGAAGCTGGGCTCATTTCCGAGATTCGGTTTTCATCTGACAGTCACGCACTCTTAGCACGATTCGAGTGGGGACCCTTACTTCTGTATAACGTTCAGGACGTATTGCGCATGCGATAGCGTAGTATTAGTGCGACAACATCTGCTTAGTTCAGTGTAATATAACATTGCGAACGCAGATCACACGTAGCGAGCGAACGCTGTGTGTGTGCGTACCGCTGCGGACGTGGAAACACAGATAGTAGGACTAGGAAAAGGCCTAGTTTGCAGGGAATCATGGAATGATCCAGGACTCGGATGGGTGTACTCGAGGGACTGGCGCTGCCACTAGTGCGAGGTGAGCGGCGTGCAGGCTGGCATGTCGACGTCTTGTATTTTCCCAGAAACGCACTATGGCTCGGCCGAAATACCGCAATAAGGGCAATGCGACATATTCACGGGACGCAAACACGAATCGGCTCCGGGATGACAGCCGTTCAAAGACCTTCATAGAAATTGAGCGCGTTTGTATTTTGGCTACGGGGGGCTCGTTTGAAAAAGCGCGTGATTGACCTCTGGCTCAGGCGAAACGCAGACAGCACCATACAGATACCGCACAGAGCACCCAGCCTTAGGGTGTAGCCAGGCAATGTAACCGCAGACCGTCCCTGACAGCGCGACCAATGGCTCTCTCAGCCATAGAAAAGATCGAGAGGAAGGATTTTGGGCGACACTTTTGCTCCCATAGTCGTAGCACGAGGATACGACAAAAAGTCGGGGCATCTGCTGCCCCAAGCTTCCACGTAATGTCACCAGTTCAGACAGAACAGAAGAGCGTTATTGAGATGTCTTTCATACAAAATATGAAGCCGCCTCGATGACGAATGACGATGAAATAGTATGCCCAAACATATTCCATACTCAAAAGGGTCTCACTAAACAGACGAGGTAGGAGAGCCTGGGAAGATGCCGCTCGGCCGAGCGCACGCCATCATTGTCCTCGTCTGCACTCGACGAGCAATACAGCGAGCTCCCAAGTTCGCCGTGTCACGCAACGCGGAAGCGCTTCGCAAACGGGACCGTCTTGTTCTGCAGGCTCCGTCGGATCCCGCCGTGCAAGATCCTGACGCACTTTATCAACAGTAGCTGTGACTTTGACGTCAGCGCGCGGGAAAGACGGGGGACGTGCTCACGTTGTGCACCACGTTCGGGTGGCCGTAGACACCGCCACAGCGACGCCGTCGTCGCATCCTTGCTGATGCACTTCGCTAGCAAGTCGTTCCCGCGAGGGTGCTCGTCCAGGAAGTCGGCGACGTCGTGGGGAAGCCGGTAGTGGTGACGAGTGCATGCTTAACAGATGGTTCCTGAGCTGCACGCGTGTCAGTAAACGTTGCCCGGTAGTGCGAAGCATCACGGTTGGGCGTCCACTCTATCATCGTAGCTCATGCGTATCGCACGCCCACGTAAGACCGTCCAACATCGCTCACAGCCGCTTCAGTTGCATTGTCTGCAGGACTTCGTCCTCCGAAAAGACTTTCAGGTGGCTCGCCAGGCCCAGCTGCGCACGCACCCATATGAGTCACTTCGTCGGGTCGCACCAGTACCACCTGACTGCGTTCTGGTAGTCCATCGGGAACTGGTATCAAAATCTATGGTAGTCTTCGCCGACGGTGACGCGTGCGGTGACAAAGTGGTCGCGTGGCGTGTGTTTGTTATCGAAGAGTCTCCCGCCGAGTCGCGAGAAAATTGGTGCAATAAGTGAACTGAGCGGAAGTTGATAATGCATATACGCACGCAGGAGGAAAATCACGTACATGCCGGACAAATCACAGGCGAGCCGCACCCGTGGAAAAGAAGAGTCCACCTCTCTAGTCGTCCCAGCCAAGCCCGGCGACGCCCGTGGGCAAAACCAAGCCATACTCGGGGACCATCCAGACATCCACCAGTGCTGACACTGGATGACAGGCCGGGTCCTGCCTAGGTCGCGGACATCGGTACCCATGGCATCACCACTTCACCGAGCCTTGGACCGCGCCGACCCTCGCGATCGCGAGGAAGCACTCCAGAGGCTGTGGGACGTTCTGCGACCAGTGCGCGCATGGACAGTAGTAGCGAGCAACGCACCGATACTCATTATGAAGTAGTAAGAGACGCTCTAAACAAATGTCTGCCACTACATCATGACCGTAACGAAGCCATAGACGGCAACAGAGGGAGTGATAGTGAGAATGGCGAGGTTCAAGAGATTTTCAAGAGTGACAGAAGGCTTCTGCTTCTGCTTCTCGAGAGTCTAAGCGACATAGATATCGGGAATGGAGTCCGTAAGAGTCTCTTCTTCGACGAAGTCCTTGAGCTTCGGAGCCGGGCTCAGTGTTAGTGAGGCCGTTTGCGTCTCAACGACGGAGGACATGGTGGAGGTTTTGGAGAGGAGGGGGAAGGATATGACGAGCGAATCGACCTTGCGGCGTTTCAATGAGCTTGGACGTGCTACTTGCTAGTCTCGTCCCCAGCCATTCTAGCGCGCCCGGACTTCGCCGGTCGGAGACTGCGTCGGACATCAATGGTGATGTGCAGTCTCTCGAGTTATAAGCCCGTGACTTGCAACTTCGGCGTTCGCCAACCTCCAGCGGTAACCACCGGTGTTCGCCGGTGGCCATTGGTGTTCGCCGGCGGTCCTTGCCATATACGGGTGCGTCACTGTGAGCGCTTGTGAACACCACCGTTCGTTGTCCACTGGAACCCATCGGAATACAGCAGCAACTGGTGAATATTGCTGTGTATCAGTGGCAAGTAGTGGGGTATGTTGGGATATACCAGTGTTCAGCATGTTATGCTGGCTGCCACTGGTATTTGGTCCGGTCGATTCACATGGCAGGTGGCAGACACCACCAAACACTGGTGACATCCACTGGCAGGCAGTGGCCACTATCCATCAGCATATGCTGTTTATTGTTAGTATGTCATTGAATAATAATTTTTGGTCATTTTTCACTGGTCTTTGGGCAGAAGTGTGTGACATTGGGCCATGGTGTGTGACTTGCTTTCCTAGG